TATTTTGGAATTTATTGATTGACCCACTACTACACGAACTAAGCGAAAAAGGGGAATATTGCCAGGCTTTCGCAGACGACGTGGTCCTGATTTTCTCCGGGGATAAGGCACTGGATGTACAGGATCGGGTCAATGCAGCCCTCGCACATGTTTAGAATTGGGGAGTCCAAAACAAGCTCAAATTCGCACCACACAAAATGAAAGCTATGCTGATAACAAAAAAAGATAAAGTATGACTCACCAATTCTGAAAATGGGCCTCCAACTACGTCTGTGCAACAGACGCCCCCGCGTCCGATGCACAAAGGCCATGGGGCCAGGAAAAACGAGCACTTAGAAGTACTAGCCTTCCCGACCCCAGCGGCGGATCTGGTCTATGGCTCCGCCGCCAACCAAGATTCGGCTGCGGAGGGTAGGGAGAGCGGCGCCTCGCAATACCGACAATCCTCTCCCCCCGCAGCCCCACCACCACCGCATCAACGGTGCGGCCCCGTTTGAGTCGCGAAGGATAGGGCGAGTGGCGCATCGCCATACCAACACTCCTCTTCCTCCGCGACTCCACCTCGGCTGCAGCGGTAGAGGGTGCGCGAGTCCCCACTCGCTGCAGTCCACCAGCACACATCCAAAGTGGGCAACCCAAGCCCACTCGGAGCGGCCACCTCAGGCCGGCCCTTCACCTCGGGCCAGCCACGTGGGTTCCTCTTTGTTCACCGTGGGAGACCAAGCCACGGCTACTAAGCCCGCCGCCACGACAAGGCGGAAACCAGTTCGGGGGGGAACCTAACCTAACCTAACCTAACCTAACCTAACCTAACCAAACCTAACCTAACCTAACCTAACCTAACCTAACCTAACCTAACCTTTTTTTTTTTTTTTTACGTGGGGAAATCCTCATGGATATCCGTCTGTCGCGTAGGCGTCAGACAGGTTATGCCGGACTCCTACCGGCCAAAGGCCAAAACCCCACTGTTTACATCTCATCACCTTTTGTCAGGGCTACGGGAACGCTTTCGCACACCACCGCAATCCTGACGGCAACAGCCCTTACCGGGTCCGACTCGATGACTTCTTCTTGTAGGGGCGTACCATCACACCGTACGCGCCACCTCGAGGCCCTACATAATAGGTGACGGACAGCCCCGGTGTCCGCCCCCTAAGCCTCAATTACGGGGGTGGAAGAGAGCCTGATATGCTCTTCTCCGGCGCCCAGCTCTCCGGCTGCGGATTGGGATTGTTGCCGTCTTTTCCCTCTCCCTCTCCGCAGCTTCCTTTTGTGACATCACTTTTTCGCAAAAGGTTACCCCAGCACTCCACGCCCTCTCGCATCCAACCATAGCTTTAATAAAAGCTGGGAGCGAGAGGTCATCCCCCACTACAGCCACGAGGTCCCGACGCAAGTCAGCCCAAGCCGGGCAAACCTCAAGGGTATGCTGCGTCGTGTCCTCGTCGCTACCACAGTGATGGCACTCAGTTGTCGGCTCTTTTCCGGCTATACGGCACAGATACTTACCGAAGCACCCATGTCCGGAAAGCACCTGCACCAGCCGGAAGGTCAGTGACCCATGCCGCCTGTTTGTCCAGTGTAACATGATCGGAAGAACAGCATCGACAATTCTGCTTCCTGCCTTCGGGTGGGCTAGACGCTCCTTCCACTTTTCAAGCACCAGTTGCCGAGTGTGGAGCTTTCGCAATTGCCACTCTCTGGGAGAGGGGGGACACCCTCGGTGTCGAAGTTCCAAGCGCCAATCGTACATAGACGCAAGGAACTCCGCCTCTATATCCCGAGGGTGGGGACGCCGCCAAAACGCATGCCGCCTCAAAGGAGATCGTCCGGTATCCTCGCACGACTTCGACGGCCATCGCCCTCTGGGGCCTTCTCAGGAAGGCGATGGTTCTTTCCGTTAGAGCCCCAGCCCATATAGGGGCCCCATATAAAGCCATGGACCGAACCACCCCCAAATAGAGACGGCGGCAATTCGCATCGGGCCCTCCGACATTGGGTAGCAGCCTTTTTAAGGCAGCTGTTGCTCCCATTAGCCGGGGGCCAAGCACCTAAAGTGCTCGCGGAAGCTCCAACGGCTATCCAGGATGAGTCCAAGGTACCTCATATTGGACCCAACCTGAATACGGACATCACTGACAATGCTGTGGGATCCCTGTGGCGGTGCTTTTCGAGGCCTGTGAAAGCAGATGGCCTGGGACTTGCTTAACGCCACTTCCAGCCCCAACATCCTTATTCTGCCAACAACCAGTGCCACTGACCTAGTGGCAATACGAACGGCTACCTCGTAGGTCTCCGCCCGGGCAGTGACCAGAGTATCGTCTGCATAGCAGATTATTCCAGCACCCGGGGGAAGGTCTCCCCGCAACGCCCAGTCATAACCGACGTTCCAAAGAAGCGGTCCTAAAATCGAGCCTTGTGGAACGCCGCACGACATTACCCTCCTTAATATCCTGCCTTCTCGCCCAGGATAGCAGACACATCGCGCAGAGAGATAGCTCCCGATTATTCGTCTGATAGGGAGGCACTTTGTGGTACTTCAGTGCCTCGCTGATGCACTCCCAGGGCATGGTGTCGAAAGCGTTGGCAATATCTATAGACACTGCCAATAAAACCCCACCCCTTGCCAAAATCTCGTCCGAATGGGCCTTGACGCATTTAATAGCGTCTATCGTTGACCGACCCATTTGAAAGCCAAATTGCTGGTCTGACAAATCGGGACCCATCTCTTCGAGATGCCCGATAAGACGACGGGCTATTATTCGCTCGAAGAGCTTATCTGCTTCATCGAGCAATACTACAGGGCGGTAGGCGGAGGGAGAGTCGGCGGGGCGCCCATCCTTCTTCAGAAGGACTAGCCTGCCCGTTTTCCACTGTAATGGGAACCGTCCCATCTCCAGACAGGTATCAAGTAGCCTGCGGAATCGTTCCCCTAGTTCCTTGAGGGCTAAAACCCAGGCGCGGCCAGGAATGCCGTCGGGACCTGGAGCTTTAGTTTTTTTTTGCTCGGAGTTTTAAGACTGCCGCACCAAGTTCCTCCTGCGACACTCGTGGCACCTCATTCTGTACTTCTTCCATCTCCTGTACAGAGGCCATTGCTGGTGGTAACCACTCCGCCCGATCTGGAAATAGCGCGTTCACCACATCCTTAACAAATTGAGGTTGGAGACTCTCCGTGAGTGGAGGCGCCCAAGATCGAAGTTTGCCCCTGACCATCTTATACGGACGTCCCCATGGATCTCGGTTGAGGGTCTCTAAGAGCTCCTCTCTTGAGCGTGTCTCAGCCTCGCGAATGGACAGCTGCAGAATTTTCCGGCATTCTCTATACTTTTCGAATAGCTGTTCTTCTACAGTATCGTTACGAAGCCGTCTTCTGTGATACCTGGCGTACAGGCGCCTCGCTTTCACACAGTTAGCGCGTAAAACTGCTATCTCTACAGACCACCAGTACACCTGGCGACTAGGAGGTGGGTGTTTGGCGCGGGGCATGCTTGCGTCACAGATGTGTGTCATAGCATCCAGAAACCAAGTTGTCTCCGTCTCAACCTCTACAGGCCCATTTGGTAGGGACAGCCACGATTGGACAATAGAGGCTTCAATGACAGCATCTCTACTCATACTTCTCAATACCCATCTTTTGGTTAATGACGGGATATGCCTTCTGACCGGAAGACCGACGCTCGGAGTCTCTGGAGAAGTGGAGACATCGAAACGAACGTAACGATGGTCCGACAACGTTTCCACGTTCTCCAAAACTCTCCAGCCATGAAAGCGGCTTGCTATAGCAGGGAATGCAAACGAGACGTCTACGATAGATCCTCCCTGTCTCCGCACGCATGTGTAGACCGATCCCTGATTCAGCACTGTTAGGCCCATTATAGTCACCCAGTCCTCTAGTGCCTCGCCACGCGCATCAGTCATAGGAGAACCCCAGACAGTAGATTTAGCGTTAAGGTCTCCCATGACAAGTACTGGGCGAGGTAGGGTTTGCCCAATAAGAGCCCCCAAATCGCTCAATTCAACGACCCCAATGAAACCAACCCTGACCCGTGCCATGCTCTGCAAAAGCAAATTCTGTGCGCCGGCACAGTGGTTGACGTTGGCCTGAAGGAGACGATAATTACAATTACCAGCCATCATGTTACTGGACTGCCATCGCCTCCTCCATTTGAGGTTGCGTAGGCGGGGTCCTTTCACCCACTATAACGCCCTTTCTTCTTTGCTTTGGAGGCGAGCACCTCTTGCTCCCCAGTACGTGGTCAGCCGGCCTGTTCGCTGCAATACACAGTGAACAATTTGGCGCAGCAGTGCACTTCGCTGACTTGTGGCCAGTCTGGCCACATCGGTAACAGTAATTGCTACGGTCCACCTCTGAAGTGCACTGGCACTCCACTGCAGACACTTATAGCACCGTAATGGTCTATGTGGCAATATTTTCACCTGTGCTGCCACCCATCCGATCAAAAGACGCCCGCCCCCTTCAACTTTCTTGGCTGCAGGTACCGGGCAGCTCACCCAGATAGTACCAGTGCCAGAGCTTGTAATGCGGATTTCGCCTACTTTCACCATTTCTGCAGGACATTCCCCTTGCTGTGCAATGGCAGCGACAACTTCCCCTGTAGTTATAGAGTCGTCCAGGCCAGAGATGCGCATCTCTGCACATTTCGTTGGTCTAGATACTCTAGCCACCTCCTCAGGCAACGACTCCTTTAATATCTTAGCCAAGGAGTCAGCTTTATCGCCGCTCGTTGCTCCTGGTATCTCTAAAATGCGGGCTCCAGTGGCCGCCTGTCGGTACCGCAGAGATTCGATACCGAGGCTAGCAAGGTCGATCTTCTTTCTAGCCTCTGTCAGCACCTTTGCATAAGTGAGGCCACGATCTTCAGCTCCGAGCTGCAGTGTTATAACTACAGCCGCGGATTTTGGGGAGCGCAGTTTCACAGATGCTGGTCTCCTGGAAGGATTGACGGTTCCTGCCTTGCGTTTTTTACGTCTTCTCACTACTGTGGTCCATCCTTCTTCCGTGGACTCAGGAGGTCGAGGGCGTTATTCTGTTGGCTGGTTAGTTGCCATTTCTGTTGTTCTCCCTTCTCCCTTTCCCTTTCTGTTTCCTCTTTGTATTTCCAGCGCCGGAATTTTCTTTTGTTGCCTATTCTTGTTTTTACGGCGTATTTTTCAGCCTTCGTAATTGTATCAGACTTCCGCCGTAGTATGTCTGTATCATTTACTACATCTCTGCGCACATCAGCAGCCAGCGGAGGGCGGACACGCTTTTCTGGGAGAAGCCGCTCCTCAAGCGCCTCCAATCGCGCATTCATCATGTGACCAACTTGGCGCATAATGGAACTTATCAATTCCTCACTTTCCTTGTCTCCTCGCACCCGAGGAGTTGGTGGAGCAGGTGTTTTATTGATCCTCGCCACTTCAAGCCGGATTTCAGATAGCTCTTTACGAAGCTCCTCTATTTCACTGCGCAGGCAGGTGTCTTCAGCCTGCAATTTCGCCGTTTCTTCATTCACTGACCTCTCATGTAGGACCTCCACGACTGTTTTTATTGACGTGGCAGCATCCTTTAAGGCACGTTGAAATGTGCCTTTCAGATTTCTCGACTTGGCTGCTACCATCAGTATGACTCCGACATCGTCGAGAACCTGTTGGTTGAGAGCCATTGCCGAACGGTTGTCATCTCCGACTAAATTAGGCAGCCCCAGGGCAGTCCGTTTTTGATTGGCAACACAAGCCATTTGTTCCACTTGCCTCTCAGCCATACTAAGATCTTCCTCAGTCCCTGGCACTACGAACTCTCCAGAATTATCCATTAATGGTGTCACCTCTTTTCCTGTCTCAGAATTCGTCTCTTTTAAAAAAAGCTTCATTGTCGCTGGACGATATTGATTATGTTATACGTCTCTTTTTCGCCCCACGGGAGCGGCTTCCAGACTTAGAAGCTGTCCTTGATACATCGCTACAAAGGCTTGCATCTGATTCCGATCAAGCCTGCTTATCTCCTTCTGATGTTTTATAATATTTATATTTTTCCATTTTTTTTTCCCACGAGTGTGGAGGAAGTAACGGTCCATCCGAGCAGTGCCCCCTTTGCCCGGATAAGCCTATGCGTAACCCGTCAAGGGTGTCGGCCGGTACCCTGACGGGGGGCAACGCTAACGACTGAACATTTACCCATCAGCCATGTAGCTCCTCACGGCGTGCCAGGCTTGAGCTTCGGGTGATTTTTTATAGAGGTCATCATCCTCGCGACTCCAGGCGGTTAAGCCAAGAGCCATCGGCCCCTCAGGCGCCGCGAGACATGATCCACGACACGCCAAAGGGATTCCGAGGTTTGAACGGTGGCAGAGTCGAGAGAGTTGAGGGAACCCTGAGCCCATTCAATTTTCTTTTTTTACAGGATGTGGTCCCTGAAAACCCGCGCTAACGCGTTGCCCGGCGTCGGCAAAAGCCGAGTGCACCTGGCATCTCACTGGAAGCAACAAAAGTATCTCGTATCTTTAATTCCATTCGGAACCAAAGGTACGCCCAAACCCAGCCAGTTTTGGTCCGCGACGGTTTCCCGCTACCACTCATATCTGAGTGGCATTCCCCTATCCGCCACCTGGGGACGCGCCCGATAGGAGGACTGGCAACTCCACACGGGAAGAAGAATGCGACCTAACCGAACCTTACCCAACCTAACCTAACCTAACCTAACCTAACTAACCTAACCTAACCTAACCTAACCAAAACGCTGCCCCGTACGCAGTACTTTGAACCGCCGCGA